TTCTCTTCCGTCGGGGGATGGGCGCAGATGAGCGAGATGTTGAAGAATCTAGCTTCGATGCGGATTGTGGCTAGACGTTCGTCCACCGGGGTGAACGCCAGTACTCGGCGACGGAGTCTCTCTCCTACCATGAATCCAACACCGAATTTGCGCTCCTTTACGTGACAACTGTAGTAGACGTCGCAAGGCTTCACGCTTACTTTACCTTGCCCCGTCCATCGCATTTCTTGGATGGCGGTGATGTCAGCCTTTGTCTTCCCGATCAACCAGCCGGGCAGAGGCACCTTCCCCATTAAGGGTCCGGATATTCCAGGTGCATACCTTTAAATCATAGTCCTTTATACGTTTGCCGTGGTCGTCATCAGAATATTTACATAATATTAAATTATTAACACTTACACTTTAAGCTAAGTATTTGGCCGAGCTTCACCTCCAAATTTGTGTTGTGCTATAAACCAATGTGCAAATGGATTCTAGCAGAAGCCTTTTCATGGTAGTAATACACTCGGAGGTTTGCCGTGGCCTGACGAAAGGCGGCCGCTGTTAGAAACAGCTTTTTGAAACATAAATATTGCTCGGACCCGGGATAGAACCAATGCCTTACGAAGTGTTAGTAAGCACCTCTAACTGCTTAGCCTCAAGGTAAACATTTATGAGGGTTGCTTAAATAGAAACTAGTGAAAAAAACTCTAAAATCAATAATACAGTGATACTTAAATGAATGTACGTGCACTAAGTACTATATACACTCTCTAGGCTGTAGAGGTTTTCTAGATCTTCTTAAATAAATACTTACAGAGAAATTCTTAGTAGAAAGTCTTATGCAAGACAATTAAATGACAATAGGCAAGATAGCTTGAAAGATCTGGTTTATTCTGACACGAAAGTATCACAAAAAAAGCTACCTCGCCAACTTTCATGGTAAAAAGCTCTTTTGACAGCAAACATTTGTATATCATTTTGCTGGCGCTGCTTCAACAGCAAAGCACTGGCCTGCCTTAAGATGAATTCAAAGTCTAGACCTCGGAAGACTGACTTTTTTAAATTTATTTATTTTTCTTTTTTAGTTTAATTTTCTTTACATTTTTAGATTTCATTATTTTTAAAAGAAATACATATGTATATATATTTTATTTTTCCTTTTTTAATTTAACTTTAAGATTTTATTGTTTTAAAAAGAAAAAAAAAAACATTTCTTAATTTAATTTTTCTTCCATTTTAATACATTTTTAATTTAATTAGTAGAGACTTATTTCCCTTTTATAATTTATTGTTTCTTTTTTAAATTTAATTTTCTTTTAATATTAACATTGTATTGTTTGAAAAAGAAAACCTTTTTTTGAATTTCATTTGATTTTTAGGAACTTATTTTATGAATCTTTGCTCTTTTTGTAAATAACTTTTTTTAAAGTTAGTTATTTGATTAATAGTTTCCAGTGTTTTTAAAAGAATTTTTTTTTTCATTTACTTAATAGAAAACTTCTTGCAGTTTTCCGATTAAGTCTTTCAAAAAGCAGAAAAGAGCATTCAAGATAGTTCCCAGAATAATGTCGACAAACGTAACACCCTACGCCTCAACTATCCAGTTGGTAAAGTTACAAAAAACTGCTTTTAAGAACGCTTAATTCTGATCTTTTACGACAACAAGCCTTCCGTTTTTACTTTTGAGTCCGTTCTAAATTTGTCTACCAGGTCTTTTTTGTATCCTTTGTTTTTATCAATTTTATCAATCGGTGACGAAACTCCTGCTTCTCTAAGCCTTACTACTGTACCGCTATGGTCAAACGGAAATAGATGTCAGATCGCTTTTGGAGAGCGGAGCCAACAGCTCTTCCGTGCTTCCTTGCAACCTGTACAGATATTTGACTATCACAATTTATAAGAACAAATAAATGACCATCCTTATATATTGACAAGTGAACTTTCGAATCAAAGAATTACTTTGTTCCTAATCAATGAGATTAATACTTTAATTTTGCCTTTTTCTTAAATCCATGAAATTTATTCCTTTAGGGAGACATTTCCACTTGCAGTTCAATCTCTGAAACCTTCACTGGCCTGTCATACAATCAACTCTGTACAACGCAGCTGACAGCTGCTACCAAAACCGCTTTAAGCTGAACTTCCTTGGCTTAAGTAAGAAATGGCAGGGCGCATGGCCAACCCAACGAGCGGAGCTCACCATACACCGAGGATAAATAATTGTCAACATGAACTGGGACGTATGGCACAACTTTAACCACAACTACAAAGAGCAAAGAAGCACAGCAGCGGATCCATGTAAGCACACAGACACACACATACGAGCCCACTCAGATCGATAGTTGCATGCATGAACTGAGGCAACTGGAAAGCAGCGTACTACCGTCACCCAGCCGCCCACCCACAGCTGGTGAAGCAAACGAATATAGACGCAACATGTAGTGCTTGTGGCATTACCTCCCCCCTGAGGCGGCGCATACAGAGCACAGGAAATCATAACAAAATAATACGAGTATGTAGAAAGGTACGCGAACAAACGAGTCGAGGTAATAGTCAAGTGGCATAAACCCGTATGCAACACGGCATGACATTTGGAAGCATGTGGCACGTATGCGCTTACGTTATTACTGATGTGTGGGTGTGTGAACCTTGGACGTACGTAATAAGCACATGTTTACGCATGTGACGTCACAGGCAGGCTGAATGGCTGGTTGCCAACGGCTGCGGTGATGATAGTGGATGGTGATGGCAAGTCCCCGCCGACGCTGTGCTTACGTCGTTGATATGGGCTATTGTTATGTCGTTGCTGCTGCTGTTACTGTCGCGGCAAATGTCGCAAGCGGGTGGTATTACGACGTGTGCAACCAAATGACGTTAGCGAGCGGCGGCGGCGGTGGTGATGAAATAAATTGGAGTTGCGTATTCTACTTTCTCGGTTTCAATTGGACCTCTCAGCTAAATACTCTGCCCAGCGAGCAGCGAGCAGCGCAACAAATCACTGCACATTGCACATGCAACATGCCGCGTCACGTGTCACAAACGGCTGCCGCAAGCAAGCATGCATGCTCAAATGCAAGACAAAAGCACTTTGCCACAAACCGACACGCACTCGACCCCCACCACCACCACCATTTTTCGCATCTACTTATTTCGCAACAGCTGAAAACGCCTGTGGCATTTGGTTTTGCGAATATCCGTTTGCCGAATTGTACTACATATTTACGATTTTGCCCTGCTGCGATTTACAGTTCGGTAATCACAGCTCTTTAAATAAATACAGACACATAAGGACGTACGTATATTTATGTAAGAAGCGTTTGTGTGAGTGTGTGTGGCAACTAATGATTGTGTTTGTCTGCCCCTCGTTTGTAGCATGCAATGCCACGGCCAATTTAAACGTAGTACGTAATTGACAAAGGGCTGCTAGCTATGTCTGGAGAGGGCGTGTGGCCAAAGCACTTTCGGTGGCAATTGTTTTGCGCTGATTTTTCCTTCACTTTCAGCCGAAATATATGAGGTGGGTTTTATCGAAGGCTGAGGTAGCTCAGCCGCTCCAGGGTTGAGTGAAGGTCCCACTAACCCCCACTGAATAAAATAAACACAGTAGTTAAATATAGCGAACACAACCACACACACACACGCGGCCGTTCGGCCAGGCTGCCGGTACCCTGACGTCCACGAAGAGAGGGGAGAGAGAGAGAGCGACTAACTGGTCGGCGGTCGGCGTCGTGGCTCAGAGAGCGGAGACTGTCTAGTGGCTAGTGACGGTGGCGGTGATGTTGAGAGCGGTGACGGTGAGAGCGGTGATGGTTCGGTGATTAATGACAGTGAGAGCGGTAGCGAGCGTGATGATGGTAAATGCCCACAGCACGGCTACTGCAGCCAATGAGAGCGACGATGCTGATCCTGACGGCAGTAGCAGTCCCTTTAGTAGTGACGGCCCTGCGGTGATGTTGACGGTGGCCCAAATAGTGGTGAGGGCGGTAGCGACCTCCCGTAGTGAGAGCAGTATTGGCGGCCCTAGTTATAACAACGGGCCTCTGATGAGTAACGGCGGTGACAGCGGCCCTGGATGGCGATGATGTTAGCGGCAGACAGCAAGTAGTGGTCCTCGGTAGCGGTTTGGCCTAGGGGCGGCAATGATATTGGCGGCCCAATGGTGAGGAAGGCGGCAGTC